CGAACTCACAGAGATCTGCCTGCCTCTGCCTCCCAAGTGCTGGGATTAAAGGCGTGCGCCACCACCGCCCGGCTTGTTAGGTAATTTTTTAAGATTTTGCTTTTTATTATTGTTTATTTTTTGGAGCAGACCTAGCCCAGTCTAGCCTGGAACTTTCTTGGTTGACCAGGTGGCCTTGGGCCTTGAACTTGTGATGCTCTTTGTGTCTCAACCTCCTGAGTATTGGAATTGCAGACATATTGATGTCGTGGTTTGTAACTTAATTTTGACAGGTTTTTCTTTTTGTTTTTGTTTTTTTGAGACAGGGTTTTTCTTTGTAGCCCTGACTGTCCTGAATCTCACTCTGTAGACCAGGCTGGCCTCAAACTCAAGAGAGCCTTCTGACTCTGGCCTCCCCTGTGCTGGGATTAAAGGCATGTGCCACCACCTTTTGGCCTTAGATTTGACAACTTTATAAAATGAGTAACTAAGGCCTCACCATAAAGCCAGGACCCTGTCTTATGTAGGTCACTCAACCAATGTCAGAACAGCAGTGTTTGCGATTATATCAAGACACAGGAGATTTCTCTGTGCTATTTCCTGTACACCTGTCTCCATTGACCTCTCTCTGTTCAGCATCTTTGTGTTTTCCCATTTCCTCTTGGGAATCCTCAAGCAAAAAAGCATATACCTCAGATTGGATCTGAGGTCATGTGTCTTGTGCATAGTTTGTACCCAGTGGAACAGTTGGGAATGCAATACCATTGTTGGTTGATAGATGGGTAGGACCTTTTCCTCACTCCTTTTTCATCAGTGGGGCCAGGGCTCCCACAGGAGCAGAAGGACAGTGGAGATCTACTGTTGCTCCTTGCTGCTGTGTGTACCCATGTTTGTGTGGTTTGTTTTTAGGTTCTCCACAAAAACCAAGCTTCCTTTATTAAACATACCATATTGTGTGTGTGTGTGTATGTGTGTGTGTGTGTGTGTGTGTGTTTGTATACAACATAGTATGTTTACATGGTATGTGTGGGCAAATGCAGGTTGTTTTGTTTTTGTTTTTCAAGCATTTTAGGGATCCTGAAGAAAAAGGACTTCTGCAGGCAGTAGAGGAGAAGGATGAAAGAAGTTTGTTAGAGATGTTGGTCATTCCTCTCCCACCTATCCCTAGCAAAGGCTGGGAAGGAAGTGGCATGGCTTCCTGAGTATGCAGTCTCACATCTTGTTTAGGTTTCAGTTTTTCCTGATTGGTGACAAGAATATATATTCACAGTATGCTGTGGTTTTGTGTTGTGGAGTTGGTCATGTGGGTATTTAGTCTCAAAGATTTCAGTCTTTTGAAGGCCCTACAGGCTTCATGTGGGTACATATGTGTGCTTCTATGTGAGTATCTTTGTATGTTCAGAGAAAGCAAAGCAGTATGGTGTGTGGGGAGGAAGGTTCGTGTTGAATCTAGAGAAGTGTGGTGTGCGGTCCCTGATACTTGTTATCTCTGCTCAGTTACAGGCCTTTCCCTTGTTTCAAGTCATTCCTTGTGCTAGCAGGGAAACTGACGTCTAGGATCAGGCCTAGCCCTAGGAAAATAAGGTGGCTGTGAGACATGAGATGGAGTGTGGGAACGTCACTTGGGACCAGGTGTTGGTGCCTTTCCATCTTTGACACCAAATATGTGAGAAATATGTGATCCTGAACTAGCTATGCTATTTCTATATCAGTGCCTCCCCCATCTTGTGTAACTTTTGTTTTTTTTGTTTGTTTGTTTTGTTTTTTTGGTGAGGATCAAATGAGTTTGAAAAGTCTGTAATAGAACTAATTAATGATCTTACTGTACTGAGAACTTGTGAGTCCTGCGTAGAAAGGGGACAGAGGTAGAGTATAGTGGGGGACCCCCTTCCAGCTGGACCCTGGAAGAAGAAACCAGGTGCATATGGCCAAGTGCAGTGTTAGCAAGAGAAGTTTCAGTTTCTGTCAAAACAGTTTCTCTGAATTCCCCCTTTATTTGTGGTTCCAGTGGGCCACTCTTTCTCCTTCCTTGGTCCACCCCACATGCTAATCTGGGAGGAGGAGGAATTTTCCTAAGGACAGAATTGGTAGGACTAGAAAATTAGAGAAGCTAATTCATGTTATGATATGCTTTGCCTATAACATCGAAGAAAAATTTTTCCTCTTGATGGGGAGGTACTGTGTCTATTTCCTTGGAATAGAGATGCATATTTTATTACACGTTAATAATTACAAAGTTAAGGTATACACTGGGTATGGTGTTATATACTTATAATCCCAGCACTTGGAGGCCAAAGAAGGAGGATTGTTGTAAGGTTGAGGCTAGCGAGGTTGTTCCTTACAAAAGCTGGGATGAGTCTATAAGTACTATAACTTGCCTGTACCTAAGGGCCCTACACATAAAGCGAGTATTGCTAGTTTGGTAGGAATTTGGTTGTCAAAGTTTTGAACAAAGGCACTGAATTCTGTAAAGAGAGCTAGCGGTGCTTGTAATTGAAGGGATACCCCTCCTTTTCTGCATTTGGGGCTTTCCTCTGGTGGAGGAAGTGCAACAGAAATGAGGAAGGGCTTAATAAGCAATTCTCTCAACACTCTCCCTGACTGGTGGATAGCTTGCAGTATAATAGGAGTTGCAATGGCTTGCCTGATTTTTTTTTTGTTTTTTTGAGACAGGGTCTCTACATAGATCTAGCTGTCCTGAAACTCATTTTGTAGACCAGGCTGGCCTGGAGCACCTGTTTTCTTGACCACTGCTTGTGTTACAGATAGTTGACAAACCTTCTCTTGTAGTCCCATCCCCATACTGGAGATTGAACCTAGCACCCATGTTCTCCCACAGAGATATATTCCCAGCCCTCTATAGTCTTTATAATACCATTTTAAGTGGAAGAAGAGTTACTGTCCCCACTTTATGAATTTCAACCCAGAAATGAAAGACCTTGTCCAGTGCCACACAGCTAAGAGGTGACATGAACTTTCTGCCAGAAAAAGACAAGATAAAAGACCCCGTCGTGTACCCCCCAAATCTGGCATCTAGCTCTGGCAAAGAGAGATCCCTTCTGTAGGAGATACATAGTCCCCGTTATCTCAGTTCAGCTCATGGAGCCTGGTAGCCCACCCCTATTTAACCCTTTCACTCCCATCTTAGTTCCTGTTTATGGCAGCTGCAGACTGTACTGCCTCCAAGCTCAGCCTACAGAAATAGCTCCTCCAGCAGCCCAAGCAGCCACAGCAGCCTCTGTGGTCCTGGCTTCTAAGAAAGGCAGCAGCAGCTCCCAACCCCCACCCCCAGCTTGTATGCAGGACATGTGACTTGCTGGAAGTGCTGGGGAGGGGAGTGTGGCCACAGAAGCCACATCCTTGTTTACATCAGTGAAGGGGCTACCCCTTCCTGCCTTCACAGACCCTTCTCCTCCACCCCTCAGGTATCTTCACCTCTAGGATGAGTTGAGGCTGTTGTAGCTGCCCACTTTTCTTTTTCAGTGCAGCCTTTGTTTCCGTACCATACAGAACCCTCATGGAGGGAATCAGAAGGCAGTGAAGACCTGCTGGCAAGTCTTCAGAGAAAAGACTGGCCTGACTGGTGGGCACGCTCCCATTTCTAGCATCCCTGAGCCCCAGGGGCATCCCATCAGTGTGGTGAACCTCTGGGGAAACACAGGGAAATTCCCTTTTTCAAGGCAGCTAGTGAAAGTCAGGCTTGCCTTATCTTCAGACCCACGTTATGGGAGAAGAGACTCCTGTTTCTGTGCTTCAGTCTATATGGCTGCTCAGCAGACTATATTCAATTTCTTTTGCTATACCAGGTCCTGAGCTGGCAGTGCACTTAGGTGTGAGCTGCCCTCTACTTTCAGTAGAGGCCTTGTGTAATCAGTCTGTGTACACCTTTGATGAATTGAATAATAGAGGGATTCTACCACTTTATACTTATTGTCCACTAGAGACCTGCCAGGTCATACCTGTCTGGTAGCCAGAGAGTCAAGCCAGAGAACTAACCTACTAGTTATTATTTGGCAGAGTAAGTATTTTTTCTTCCTTTTCTTCTGGTTAAGATTCTAATCGTAGCTGGGTGATAGTATTGTACACTTTTAATCCCAGCATTCAAAAGGCAGAGACAGGTGGATCTCTGTGAGTTCAAGTCCAGCCTGGTTTACAAAGAGTTCCAGGACAGCCAGGACTACAGATGGGGAAACCCTATCTTGAAAAACAAAACAAAAAGATTCTAATCATGGTGGAGCATGGTGGTTTTTATGCTTTTTGTGGTAGTGGTGGTAGGCATTGAATGTAGGGTTTGGTTTGGTTTGATTTGAAATGGAGTCTAGTGATCTAGGTTGTCTTTGACCTTGGCAATTCTCTTGACTCAGCCTTGTTTATAGGTGTGCACTAACCTCCTTTGTACTTGTAATTTACAAAGGCCAGTTTACTTTTTGAGGAAACCTCTAGTTTGACATTGTCACTTTAAAACCTTTTGTTACTATATTTTCATTTCTTGGTGGGTATGGAGATTGTGGTGGCATGCCACAGGGCATATGGTCATAGGACAATTTAAGGGAATTGGTTCTCTCCTTCAACTATGTGAGTCTCACGTGTCAGGACTTTATTCAGAGTCATCTTGCTGGCCATTGACTGTGCTATACTTATACATCCCTATACTCTCTCATTCTTCATGATTGTCTAACCTGGTTTCTTTTTTTTTTTCCTGAGAGAGTCTCATGAATTTACATTGTAGATGAAGATAATCTGATCATCCCACTTCCATATCCTGAGGGCTGGGATGAAAGACGTGGCACCGCCACACCTGGTTTATGTGTGCAAGTTCAGCACATCTTCAGACCTTGCTTGCCATTTACCACCACCCCATTACAGCACACAAAAGACCTCTCCGGGCTTGGTGTAGAAAAGGGACTTTCCCTAGTCCCTCAGCCCGTCTTTCCACTAATGAATGATGTTCTGTGACTCAGAACTCTTGTGATGACAGCTGTAACTCCATCCTTTCCTTTCTTTTGTCCCCGCACCCCCAGCTGACCAGGTGTATGGAGACCAGGACATGCATGAGGTTGTACGAAAACATTGCATGGACTATCTGGTGAGATCCTGGGGAGGCCTTGGGACAGGAGGAGGGTAGGAGGATCTCCTTTGTATACAGACCTTAATTTTTAATTCCTTCTACAGATGAAGAATGCTGACTACTTCTCCAACTATGTCACAGAAGACTTCACAACCTATATCAATCGCAAGAGGAAAAACAACTGCCATGGTAACCACATTGAGATGCAGGCTATGGCAGAGATGTACAACCGTCCTGTGGAGGTGTATCAATACAGCACAGGTACTTCTGTAGTGGGTAGATGAGGGACTAATGGTGCTTCATCAGAGCCAACCATACTGGGTCTCCTGTGGATGCTCCCTCCTTCTCTTTCTCTGCAGAACCTATCAACACATTCCATGGGATCCATCAAAATGAAGATGAACCCATCCGTGTCAGCTACCACCGGAATATCCACTATAATTCAGTGGTGAATCCTAACAAGGCCACTATTGGTGTAGGGCTCGGCCTGCCATCATTTAAACCAGGGGTAAGTGGGTCCCTGTGCCATGGGTATTTTACAGAGTGTTGGTTCTGCCCTTAGCCCACAAAATGTCCTCTCTCCTCTTTGAGTCTCTCCTTAAGTCTCACCTGTATATAAAATTAGTTACTGTTGATCAGAACTCATTCTATGGTTTTGATTTGCCTGTCCATGAGTTGGCTCACTCATCTTATGCTTATTGAGAGTGGCCTCTTAGGATACCTTGTCCTGGGTAGCCAGGCTTGCACAACTTCATAGTAGTTAGAGACAGTTGGGGTCACGGTCCTGGTGTGTAGCCTTGACCCACATACAGCTTACTAGAATGGACCCTGAGGCAGATTGTATAGGTGGGGCCAATACTGAAAACACTTCCCATAGGCCTGAGACCTAGTAAGTGTCAGAAGATGGCATTTCATTTCCCCCCATCTCCTGGCAGAAATCATTCATTCTCATAGTCTCTTTCCTCTCATCTTCCCTATTCTTTCCTCCCTCCTTTCATCCTGTCCCTTGACCTTCCTTCTCCCACTTCTCCTAGATTGCTTTTCCTATTCCTAACCCTCCTTCCTCTCCTCCCCACCCCCTCTCCTCCTTACCCCCCTCTCCTCCCCACCCCCTCTCCTCCCTCTTTTCTGTCTTCACTCTATCCCCTCCTGGGGATTTTGAAATCCTCTATTCAAGTCTCACTTCCTTCGAACAGAAGGTGGTCCTGCCTCATCTTAAGAAACACACTAGCATTAACATACCCTCCAACCCTGGGGTTGGGGGAACCTGTTTTGCTTTTTAATAAATTGTAGAAAAGGTTTAGATTTGCAGAATGATTGTGAGACTATTAACGTTTCCACATGCCACATTATGATGAACGTTAATGGAGCACACTTGTCGTCATTAACAAATCAGTATTGATACATTAAGTAAAGACCACGCTTTATTCACATTTCCTCAGTTTCCTCCTGGTGAACCTTTTCTGTCCCAGGACACTATCTAACATTTAATTGTTCCCTTTGACTTCTTCTGGCTTTAACAAATTTTAAAGAATTTCATTGTTTTTTTTTTATTTGTGGACCCATTGTATAGTTTTGTCTATTCTAGAATGCTATATATTGGGAATTATGCAATATGTATGTAGCTTTACCAAAATGACCCCCCCACTCACACTTAATACTATTTAAGATTCATCTATAACTTTTCCTGGGTTGACTTTCCTTTTTTTAAAAAAAATGGAATGTTTAAAAGTTTCTCTAATTAATAGAATTAATTGTTGAAATTTTTTTACATTTATCTATTTCAGGTAGGGGTGTATGAAGGTCAAAGAACAACTTGTAGGAGTCAGTTATGCCTATGAGGTTTAAACTCACTCAGGTCATCAGGCTTGGCACAAGTGCCCTTACTCCCAGAACTATCTTGCCAACCTTCAGAATTGTTTTCTCATTACACAGAGTTTCCATCTAGTTCCTTCCTCCCAAGCCACAGAGACTCTGGTACATTTCTTATAGTGTTTGACGCAGTGGTAATACATTCCTATTAAGTTCCTGCCTCATTCCTTACTCTTGTTTTGATGACTTTGGGAATTTTTTATTATTTTTGTTGACTTTGGGAATTTAAAGGAGTACCATTTAAAGGTATTACAGGGAAATACTCTTTCTGAATGTTGTTATTATTTAAACCCAGATTTTGGGTTTGGGGAGGGAAAGCACTAAGATTAAGTGCCGTTCTCAGAACGATATATCGAGTGTATTTTAGGAATAAGATCGTGACTGTTGATGTTGTCTTTGATCATCTGACAGAAGTAGGATTAAGTTTCCCACCTTTTGAATACTGTATTGTTAATGAAGGAAATCACACTTAAGGAATGAGGATTATAGCTATCTCCCTGAATTTATGTTAACCTAAACACAGAGTTACTGCTGATGTCTCCAGTTAAAATTTCTCCATCACAGGCCTCGTTCTTGCCCCCTTTCCAGTTTTGAGTAAAATTCCCACTTTAAAGTTGAGAAAACTTTACCCACCACCCACCACTCATTTACATATACATCTATAAACTGGGGCAGACTCATTAACTGGACCCCCTGGAGTCCAGTGATAAGCCCAGTTCTTTTTATATTTAGAGTTACTGAGTCTATTCATTTCCTGAGTGCCTGAGGCCACCACCTGCTTGTCCTTGCATACATTTGTAAGGTGGTTTTTGTCCCTGGGAGCCTCACTTCTTATCTGATCTTTAAAAGGCGATTAGCATACATTAAGGATTAGTCTTTGTTTTGTAAAGTTCCTTGGGTTTTGACAGAGGCGTTACAACAAAGTGCATCTATTTTAGGCCCCTAATCATTCAAATAGTTTTAGCCCCTGAATGTTCCCCACTCTTTCCCCTTCAGCGACTGATTCTTTATTGACTCTGTTTTTCCCTATTTCAGAAAGTCACGTAATTGGAATCATAGTATGTAGCCTTTTCAAATGCTGCTTTCAGGTAGCAGTATGCATTAAACTTCCATGTTTTTTCATGGCTTGTTAGCTATTTTCTTATCTCTGTTCCATTTGTGGAGGCACACGGTTTGTTTAATCATTCACCTATTGAAAGATATCCTTGGTTGCTTCCAGGTTTAGATGATTATTAATAAAGCTTCTGCAAACTGCTGTGTGCAGGTTTTTGTGGGAACTTAAATTTTATGTTTAGTTGTATTACAACTTGAAGCAGGATTTCAGAATTTAAAAACTATACTATGATTTGTAAGGAACTGCTAGGCTTTGTATGAAGTGGACTGATTTTGTGTGTGTGTGTGTGTTTATCACAATGAATGAAAGTTCACTTTCCCAGGAATTGATCTTCCTACTTGTTAAGTTGGGAGCGTAGACCCCAGCCCCTTGCATCTATCCCAGCCCCCAGGCCTGAGAGTTGTATTGATCTGGACTCCAAATCCCAGCAGGCCAGGTCCTGACCCCCCCAGGTCCTGACCCACTCCCACAGATTATTTAAGTGAACTCCCAAAAGAGGAACACGTGGTCTCTTTTCTTTCCTTCTGGTGGTCCTTTTTGTGGCGTCCTGGTTCCCCCTGGGGCCACCTGAGAGTGAAGGACTCCCATTAAACCTGGATATTTTTTAATTTGGCTTGTTTTGATTTGGCTTGATTGAGAATTTGCATCAGCAGAGAGTTCATGTTAGGAAAAATTCCTAACACTACTTTTTTGTATTTTAGCCATTTTTGAAAGTTTTAGGTTTATTTGAATTGGTAACAATGTGTTGAACATTGTTTTAGTGCTCTACCCCTGAGCTATACCCAGCCTGAGTGTCTCTTAACATGTCCACTTACCATCTCTGTATCTTTCTCTGTGGTTAGATTGCTTACCTACTTTCATTTTTGTCATTTTGCAGTGCTGGGAATTGAATCCATGTTTTGTTGTTGTTGTTGTGTTTCAATACAGGGTTTCTCTGTGTTTTTGAAGCCTGTCCTAGAACTCACTCTGTAGACCAGGCTGGCCTCAATCTAACATTTCCATACATACATTCACCCTAGTATGCTACATGACAGAAAAATATGTTGTACATGCATTTATGTATTTGTGTGTGTGTGTGTGTGTGTGTGTGTGTGTGTGTGTGAGGAGGGGGGGAGGGAAAGAGAGAGGCTTGCTAGGGCATGGTGGAACGTGCCTCAAATCCTAGTACTCCAGAGGCAGAGAAAGGAGAATTGTGAATTCAAAGCTAATCTGGACTGCATACCAAAGCCATTGTTTTTGGGGAAAAAGAACATTAACTAAAACTTTATGAAGCAGTATTTACACTTAATCCCTGAAATATACTTTGATGTTCTCTATTATTTCATTAGTGTCACATCGCTGGATGTGGTGGCTCACGCCTGTAATCCCAGCACTTGGGAGGCTGAAGCAGGAGGATTGCCATGAATTCCAGGCCAGCTTGGCCTACATAGTGAGTTCAAGATCAGACTGGGCCATGTAGCAAGACCCTGTCTCAACAAACAAACAAATAATGCTGTAGTGTCTTAAAACTTGGCATGAAGTTCTCTCATACAGTGTCCTAGCACCCACACCATGCCGATACTGACCCTCCATCCCCTCACATAGCCACACCCAGCCTCATATATGCTTGACTCCTGCCTCCACTCCATGTCTGTCTGTACAGTTCACTTCTCTGTTCATCTCTTTCCTTTGCCCTGTGAATATTTGAGAAAGGCTTCAGCATTGTGAAATAGAGCCGTTACTAGGTGAGGCTTCTTTATATTAAGGCCTAGACTGAAGAGCCCCTTTAATCCCCAGACTTAGTGCTTCGCTTGAGGTGTCTTGGGGTTGGGCCAGCATTTCTGACCATAGGAATTCAGAATGTCAGGTCTTATAATCTAGGCCTGCTTTCCTCCAGTTACCAATCTGTACAATCTGCTGAGGAGTACTTTGTAAAAATAACTTTTCTTGTGTTGTTTTTACTAAGGCCTGTAAGCCTACCTTCCTGAGCCCATTCAGGCTCTTGCCCAGGTTCAGAGCATCACCCCACATCCCTGTTCCTCTCCTGGCAGTTTGCAGAACAGTCCCTGATGAAGAATGCCATAAAGACATCAGAGGAATCATGGATTGAACAACAAATGTTGGAAGACAAGAAACGAGCTACAGACTGGGAGGCCACAAATGAGGCCATAGAGGAGCAGGTGGCTCGAGAATCCTACCTGCAATGGCTGAGGGATCAGGAGAAACAGGCCCGCCAGGTCCGGGGACCCAGCCAGGTGGGTCATGGACTCTGTGACTGGCCTGACCAAGACCTGTTACTTCTTATCTTTTGGCCCCTAATGAACAGGGATAAAATATGGGAGAGGGAAGCTCCCAGCCCCATCGGTTACTCATCTCGTCTTTAGTCTTGGCATCGTACCTTGGAACTCTCAACACTTGCTTTTAAGAAGTAAAGGAGAGCAGCTTTTAAGAAACAAAGGAGAGCAGCCACCACTGCTGGTGGCACAAAGGAACAATGGGTAGCTACAAAGAGACCAGCTTTTTTTTTGGAAACCCTTTGCATGCTGCCTTCTGTACTGAGGATGTAAAACCTTTTCCTTCACTGCCTTCAATGATCCTGTCTGTCGAGGAAGACAAGGCATTGTGGTGGGGCCAGTGACCCTGGCTGTACAAAACCAGGAGGAGTGGTGGTTTTAACCAGTTGCTTTATTAGGGTGGGGAGGGGGAAGGCAGGCATCTGAGGAGGATTAGACGTTTGCAAGAGCTAAATAATCTGTTCAGCAAGTATTTATTGTAGGCCTGTGCCAGGAAGCTGGAGGTCCTATTCCTAGTGTAGCAGGATATGTTTGTGGCCCTAGCAGGCAAGATCTCTGTCCTTAGGCTGCTCGCTTTTTCAAAGTGAAATAAAATAATCATAATGAATAAATTAGTTGGAGGTATGGTAGATGAAAAATGGACAGTTGGTACAGGGGAAGAATGAGACTTGAGTGGGGCTGGTTTGAGTTTGCAGTATTAAACAGTTACAAGGTAGACCTCATCAGATGAGATGAGAAAGGGCTGTGTTAGTTGAGTATGTGAACAGAGCAAAGCCTGGGGTGGGGGCGCCATACTTGGTATAACTCAGACATAGCCTGGAGCTGAACAGAATGTATTGGGTGAAATCAAGGCAGTGGGACTAGGTTGGATAGGGGCTTGTGAACTCTGGAGAAGACTGATTTTACTCTGAATGAGGCAGAAACAGTGAAAAGGAAAAAGGATTGGATGTGAGTTAGGACGTAGCAAGATCACCTGACTACTGAGTAAAACAGTCTAAGCTAGAAAGCAAGGGTAGAAGTAGGAGACCAGTGAGGAGCAGCCTACTGGGTAGTTCATGGTGAAGGTACTGTGGTTGTGGTGTGGGGTCAGGATCTCTTGAAAAAAGAGTAGTGATTTTTCTCAGTAGCCTCCAAAGATTCGGTAGTGGTTAGGACTTTGCCTCTATTCCATTGCGGCACATTAAAGCTGTACTGTAGCCAGGACTCTGGAAGGGGTCTAAGCACTCTGGCACAGGAGGATCATAGCTGGGGTAGGTCCTTATCACGTTTTCCTTCCCTACTGCAGCCCCGGAAAGCCAGTGCCACATGCAGTTCAGCCACAGCTGCAGCCTCCAGTGGCCTGGAGGAATGGACTAGTCGGTCTCCAAGGCAACGAAGTTCAGCCTCGTCACCCGAGCACCCTGAACTGCATGCTGAGCTAGGCATTAAGCCCCCTTCCCCAAGCACTGTGTTAGCTCTTGCCAAACCTCCTTCACCCTGTGCACCAGGTCAGTGACTTGCTCTCAGGGTGCCTGCTTGGGCTAAGGCTCTGCTTGGTGGGCCCTACCTCAGACTGTTCATCTGCCTCAGGTACAAGCAGTCAGTTCTCATCAGGGGCTGACCGGGCCACATCTCCCCTAGTGTCCCTCTACCCTGCTCTGGAGTGCCGGGCCCTCATCCAGCAGATGTCCCCCTCTGCCTTTGGTAAGCCTCCTTAGGGGATGGGCCAGCTGGAAGCTGGGAGAGCCTGGAGGATTTTTGAAGCTCCTGGGCATCTTCCCAAATGAGAGGCATGAGGGAAAATTTCAGGCCCAAAAGGTTTTCTCCACAGGGTTCTAGTGGGGTTTCACAGAGTTAAGGGAGCCGATGAGTGATTGGGACCTGGGTGGATTTTCCAGAGCCAGGGATTAGATAGGCATGAGGGAGAATGGGCTGAGGACCCCAGTCATCATTGTCCTCTTCTCTCTCCTGCCCAGCAGGTCTGAACGATTGGGATGATGACGAGATCTTAGCATCGGTGCTGGCAGTGTCCCAACAGGAATACCTAGACAGTATGAAGAAAAACAAAGTGCACAGAGACCCACCCCCAGACAAGAGTTGATGGAGACCCAGGGACTGGACACAATCCCCTGACCCCCACCCCTCCACTCCTGCCCTTTGATGCCACCCAGCCTTCTTTGGCTTTCTTCCCTCTTGGCTTCCTTCGTTCATTTCCTTATCCTTCTTTTCCACTCCCCTCTGGCTGGCCCACTTATGCGCTCCATCCATCTCATCCCTGCCACCACCACACTGGTCTCTGCCAGCTGATGTGCTCTGTTGCCCCCCTGCACAGCACCATCTCAGCATTCCACAGGGGACTCTGGAAAGGGTGCCGAAGGTAGGCGAGAGGCACACAGAGACAGACCATGTGGCATCCAGGCAGCCCCCGAAAAGAGAGACACTGAGACAAAGGGAGTCTTCTGCTCGCCCTTCCCTACAGATCAGAAAACTTGCCGCACCTCTGCCATAGTGGTGACAGGAAAGGCGGGAGTGGGAAATTTTCCTTCCTAGTACCCCAAAAATCTGAGCCTTCCATATTAAATTTTTCTTTATAAAATGTACTTTTATCTTATAAAATCAAGAACTGTGTTCGTGGCAACACTGGCTCCTTGACGATGGTATCTCCGGTTTGGAGACAGTCAAGCTGGCCATGGGGCATGGTGGGCAGGCAAAGAGTTGAATTTCTGCTGTCTTCTGGCCTCCAGCTCTTTGGAGGGGTTGAGGATATGAGCCAGAGGAACGTGGCAGGGTTGCAGTGGCAGACTGGCTTTGGACAATGAACCCTGACCTTGCTGCAGGGACTTTGCTGACCTTTGGACTCCTGAGGTGGGGTTATCTTTGGAGATCATGGCTGCTACTCAAGATTTGAGTTTAGGGAGTTGGAGCAGCCTCCACAGGTGGGGCGCCTGTGCCCTGCAGGTGTTGACAAGATCCACCATCTGTAATGTCCTTGGCACAATAAAACCAAATGTCAGTTTCCCTGAGCAACTCTGTTCTGTATGGGGCAGGGGTGGATGGGCCTCTGGGAAGCACAGAGTTTGGCTTGCCCTGAGTTCTACTTGTTCTCCAGTAGGTGCTGTCTGTAGGCTGGGGTTCATCTTTGATCTGTTTATTAAATTAACTTCTTGCCAGGTGCAATGTATGTAGAGCCTAGGTAGTTGAAACTAACGTAGGCCACATAACCAGGATTCTGTTTAACAGAACCAGCAACAAGAAACCTCTTCTAGAACTGGGTCACGCCTTTGATCCCAGCACTGGGGAGTCAGAGGCAGGTGGATCTATGACTTTCAGGCCAGCCTGATCTACATAGTAGAGTTGCAGGCTGGCCGGGCTACACAATGAGATGCTTTTCTCAAAAATCATAAACTTCCTCAGTAGCAAATCTACTTTGAAGCCCTTACTCCCACCTAACCAAATTTCTAAATGGGAGCCTAGGGATAATTATGGACTGTGTTTGAGCTAAAGGCCATGACTAAATTTTGTTTGAATTTCCACTCTCAACCTTAATGTTCATTCTTGTGATAATCTATGAAGAAATAAAAACAGTTGATAACAAGCTATGTGAGTTTAGTGAAAGTGACCAGAGGTGGCCTCTGCCTGACTGGGTTTCATAAGCTGGAGAATGAAGTGGCTAAATCCTTTTTTATTGTTTTCTTCCAAATTCTATTGACACCTCTGTCCATCCCTCCTAGGGTTTGTAAAGCCCAGGTTGAGAAGGCTGGCTGACCTTCAGATTTTCTCAAAACAGTATTCTCCCCAGCATGCCTCAGTGGGGTCCTTGCAGAAGGCTGTGTGTGGTGGCCCCACAGGTGAGGGTATGGTTTGCCCAGTGGGCGGCTGCAGGGTATCTGAAATACATGGTCAAGCATGAGCACGCCAAGGAGGTTGATTTAAAATCTATCTGCATTTTCTAGCTGTGTGGCTTTGGGCTCTCTTTGAGTTTAAAGTGCCCCATCTGCAACTACAGGGGTGATTAATGTCTGCTACCTCATGCTCTCTGATTTGTGAGTATTGACAGAGAATGTGTATGGTCAATAATGTACTACTGGGCACAGTACCTGGTACATTCTTAGAGCACAAATGTTGGGGTTATTAACAGACTTGGGGTGGGGGTATTACCGTATTTTGTAAGTTTGTACCATTTGGCCTCAGCCTGCCTCTTGCTATTCTTGGCTTTTTCTTGCAATTTGCTCTAACCTATCTTCAGCTACCAACCTTATTTGTCTTTTAAGACAGAGGGGTCACCTGAGAAACCCCTGTGTGATCGATCTCATTCACATTTTCACTTCTGTCTACAACTATCCCCAATAACTGTACTATAAATAAACTTCTGGGCTGGGGCTGTGATGCTTACTTATCTTGTTTGTGTGTGTCTTAAGATCTACCCCTGCACTAAAGCCTGTCAGGCTCACAGTAAAACACCTAGTAATGTTGAATGAGTTAAGGAAAATGACATGTAACTATTGTGCTTTGTGTGTATTGTCTGTCCTGTGACCACAGTGAATCTACCACTTCGGAGTATTTCAGTGTCTCTCACTGAGTGTATGTGTCTGTGTCCAATGAGGGCTTGTTTCCAGGTGTGTCAGATGGTGACTGAGTACGGGACTCTGCCTATGACAGTTTGTGTCTGGTATCTGAGAGAATTGCATGTTTGCGTGGGTCTGTCAGTGCCAGTGCATCTGTAGTTTGTCTGGATACTTTCAGTGATAAGACTGCGTTATCTGATAGTGTGTATGTGATTGGATTTATTTTTGTGACATTGCTTATCTATGTAGTGTTCAGATCACTACATGCCTGCTCTGGAGCTGTGTGTGTGCACATGTGCACACACGTGTGACATCTGTGTATATTCTTGTGACAGAATCTGGGTCCCTCCTATCTGGGGCAATCTTTATGTATGTAAATGTGGGTATCTGGTGGTAGTGGTGTGCTTGCAACAGGTTTGTCAGTTTCTGGTGGGACATAGGTATTAAATGGTCCCATGGGACAGTACAAGTAAAGTCGTATCACTTTGTTTCTGAGATGTTATTTTCTGGGTGTATCTTCATGTGCATCTAGGTCTAGAACAAGTCTGCCTAAATGTATCTGACTGTATCTTTCATGGTGGTTCTCCCTCCCTCTGTGTATGTCTGTGTGTGGGTATGTGACTTTCACACACAACTGTAAGTCAAAAAACAACTTATAGGGACCACATACAGGTTGGCAGAGTTGGGTAGCAAATACCTTCCCTCTGAGTCATCTCACCTGCAGTGCTTTTGGATTTAAGTCACATCCTCACTATGTTCCCTAGTCTGACCGCCGATTCATGGTGGTCCTCCTGACTCAGCATACAGAGGACTTGGATTTCACATGTACCCTACATCGCCTAGCTTTCTATGTATCTTTGGAGTTGTGTGGCTGTCTTCCTGGACATGAGGCCCTCTGGATAATTACACAGACATGGCTGTTCACTTCTTCAGCCTTTCAGATCCTACCTCTTAAACAAGGACGTTGTAGTTCCCACAAGAACCAAGCCTTGTCATTATAGATTCTAGACCCCCTGACTGGGTCCAGTGCTAAGTCTAGCCAGGTTTGTGTAGGATAATGGCAATTAAAAATCACCCTACAGGGGCCAAACTGCCATTGATGACCCTGCTCCCCTTCTTGTCATGGTGGAGATGTTTCCTTCCCTGAATAATGGAATAATGGACCAGCTCTTCTATAAGGGCCTGGTTACAGTTTTGAGGCAAAGGATGCCTAAGCTTGGGTGAGAAACACCCTTGCATCATAGTACCCTGCCTAGCTCCAGGTTCTGATTGGGTTTTTTTGTTGTTGTTGGGGTTTTTTGTTTGTTTCCCGAGACAGGGTTTCTCTGAATAACAAGTCCTGACTGTCTCTAAACTCGCTCTGTAGACCAGGCGGGTCTCGAACTCATAAAGATCCGCCTGCTTCTGCCTCTCGAGTGTTGGAATTAAAGGTATGCGCCACAACCGCCAGGTCAGGCTTTGATTCTTAAAAGCTGGTTTGGCGTTGTCTCCTCACCGATCCAAGGCTGCAAAAGCGACGGCGGCAGCAAACCTGCATCCTAGGAAAGGAAGCTGCGCTTTCTTTTCTAAGTGTCTACACACACCCCACCACACTAACAACCAAAACAAACGGGGTTGTCGCAAAGGGACTCCCAAAACCTGTTCGTGAGTGCGTGTGCACGAGCGCGTGTGTCTGTGTGTCTGTGCGCGCCCGCCCGCCCCGCCCCCACATTTGCATACAGGCCCCGCCTCCGCGGAAGAACCTGGCATGTATTTGCATAAGGGACACTTGAAACGTTGATGGTGGCATGCAAATAAGGACTGGCTCCGATTGGCCGGGGTACAGCAGGTGCCGTGTCTGGATTGATCAAAGCCAGGTGGGCGGGGCTGTCGCGCAGGGCGACTCTCCGGGAGGCGCGTGCCCCGGCTCAGTAGCGTTGGGGCTGGCGCGCGCGACGAATCTTAACGCCGCGCCGTCTGCGGGCGCTTCCGGGCCACCAGATTCCCTACCTTCCACCCTGGCGCCCCCCAGCCCTGGCTCTCCAGCCGCTCTGCCCCGGGCATCCACGCCCTGCGGGCTCAGCGGATTCAGCGGGCTCAATCTACGCAGCTCCTCCTCCATGTTGACCAAGCCTCTGCAGGGGCTTCCTTCGCCCCCTGTAACCCCCACGCAGCCTCCAGGTGAGCGCAATCTCCCCTGTCACAAGCAGGTTGGGAGGACTGGAATGATGGGTGTCGGTGTGGGGGCGAGAGTCACGGCTGGGATCAGAGTACACCGCCACCCTGATTTCCTCGCCTCCGCTTGCGTAGGTGGCAAGAATCGGGCAGCTTTCGAGGCCGAATACCGACTTGGCCCCCTCCTGGGTAAGGGAGGCTTTGGCACCGTCTTCGCGGGACACCGCGTCACGGATAGACGTCAGGTATCCCCTAGAGGGGTTCTGGGAGGGTCAGGTGTTTTGGCGAAGGGTGGTGGTGGGGGAACGGAGATGCCACTTGTTCCAGTGGGGAGCTTGCAAATGTGTAGTAGAATCATAAGGAGCAGGGTTGCTGTCTGAGTCTATGTGTGTGAATGTGTGAGTGCGCACGTGTGTCTGGAGTTCAGGTGGGTATGGGGGTGGGCTGAAATTCTGGAAGACTGGGCATTTATACTGGGAAGGGGGCAGATCTTCAGGACTGGACCCCAAGATCCATGGTATTTGCGTGCGTGCGTTCATGCGTGTGTGTTTGTGTGTGTGTGTGTGTGCGCGCGCGAGTGTACGTGTTGGGGGGGAAGTGGGGATTTTTTTGAGTAGGTGTTAAGAGTGGAGTCGTGAAAACAAGAATCCAGATACATAGTTGTTGTGTCCTGGAGATGGGTAGAATTATGGAGGAGGGCTTGCGATGTCAAAAAACTTAGAATTTGAATGTGGGGATATGGGTCAATGGTGGGTCGTTTGTCCATCATTCACAAACACTGAGTTCAACACCAGCGTCACAGGGTGGGGGATGTAGGGAGACAGTGGGAAAGAGAAAACAAAAGAAAAAATACAGCTCCATTCTGGATTTCAGGGGGTCTTGATGCTTTCCCGACAAGAGCTCAGGAGTAAAGATGCTAGCTGGATGGAGTTAACACGATTCTGGGGCCTTCAGAGTACTGGATAGGCATCCCAGCTCCAGTGGGTGTGATACGTATGGGAACTAGAAATACTAGAGTGGAGAGACTGGAATTGGGCAGAGGGTCTAGACTGAGAAGAGTCTGGGATCACCGGCTGGCCCCCTTATCTCAGTATTTTTTCTAGGTGGCCATCAAAGTAATCTCCCGGAACCGTGTGCTGGGCTGGTCCACCGTGGTGAGTGTCTTTGGTGTACGTCATGACCCGTGGACTCCATCACCGAACTCACCCCCTGATTTTTTCTAGGGGATGTATTATTCCCTGGGCCCTGAAACCGTGAGAACCTCACCAACCTGTGTTTACTGCCTTTATGTGATAGTTCTGATTTCACCTCAATTTGCCCAGAGCTCCGGATTCTCCTCTCAAACTCTCCTTTTGCATCTTTCTTCCAAACACTGCTTCTGGGGCTGTTCACAAGACATGCTGGTGGGGAAGGAGGGGCCTAGGTCACTGGTTGTCATGGTAATGCTGGCTGCTGCCTCTGCCACCCGGAGAAAGCTAACGGACATCAGGGCGGGTCTGGGCAAATTGTAGGTGAGAGCTCCCCCTGGCGGGCATTTCAGACAGTCTATGCCGGCCCTGGGACGGAGAAGGGAGGGAGGGCGAGCCTGCGCAGTAGCCGAAGAATTTGCGTCTCCCTGAGAAAACCTGTCTGTGACTGTGCAAGTTAGTGGGCCTGTAATGGACCTCACCTGAGGCAACAAGACCCTTGGCACTGTCTGTATAGGTGTAGGGGGTGGTGTTATTGAGTTGTGCTAGTTGAACTGACAAAACGTCGCGTTCATTGAGTGTTTGCTCTGTGCCAGGTCCTTAGCAGTTAATCACTGTAAACTGTTTTTAACAAATGAAAGCCAGGATTGGTGGTGCATACCTGTAATCCCAACATTCAAGAGGCTGTGACACTAGGATTTCTGAGGATTTTTTTTTCTTTTCTTTTTCTTTATTTCTTTCTTTCTTTTTTTTTTTTTTAATTTATTTTCGAGACAGGGTTTCTCTGTAGTTTGTGGTGCCCGTCCTGGAACTAGCTCTTGTAGAGCAAGTTGGCCTCGAACTCACAGAAATACACCTGCCTCTACCTCCCGAGTGCTGGGATTAAAGGCGTGCACCACCACCCGGCGATTTCCGTGAATTTGAGGCCAGTTTGGGCTACATGGCAAGATCCTGTCTCAAAAATGAGGCAAAATTTTAAAGCCAGAGAACATCTATGCAGTGACATAATTATAGGCACTTTGCAAAGTACGACATTTATTCGAATTCAGTAGGTACTAGATCTCTTCTTCTAACTGCTCTGTCCATCTCGCGTATTGAGTCTTTCAACACTTATACAATAATAGTAGTTAATTACTTTTCATTGCTAGCCTCTTTCCTGTAAAGTACTTCCATTTAGAAACATTCATAGAGTTATCTAGTGTGCAGAAAAACTGCCCTGATCTAATAAGACAGGTAAATAGATCCCATGATAGTTCTTATGCAGAGGGACTTAAATTTTAAATTTGAAGGCCAGGCATGGTGGTGCACACTTTAATCCCAGCACTCTGGAGGTAAAAGCAGGTGGATCTCTTGAGTTCCAGGCCAGCTTGGTCTATGTAGAGATCCTGTCTCAAACCCCATTCCCCCCCCCCCAAAGAAAACACTTTAACTTATTCAAATATTTACTGAGCTGCTACATGCCAGATGTATATGGCTTCTGCTCATTTCACTCTGATGGATTTGAGCCTTTGAAAGGATACTGAGAGGTCTGGCTTGCCAAAGGTCAAAAACCAGTGCTCTGAAAATAAACTGCTATATTGACAGTAGAGCTCAGACTTACCATCTACCTTCTTTTTTTTCTTTTCACTTCCCACCCCAGTCAGACTCAGTGACTTGCCCACTTGAGGTAGCACTGCTGTGGAAGGTGGGTGAAGGCAACGGGCATCCAGGTGTGATACGCCTGCTTGACTGGTTTGAGACCCCAGAGGGCTTCATGCTGGTCCTTGAACGGCCTATGCCTGCCCAGGATCTTTTTGACTACATCACAGAGAAGGGCCCGCTGGGTGAAAGCCGTAGCCGCAGCTTCTTTACCCAAGTAGTGGCAGCTGTCCAGCACTGCCATGCTCGCGGAGTCGTCCATCGTGATATCAAGGATGAGAACATCCTGATAGACCTCTGCCGGGGTTGTATTAAACTCATTGATTTTGGTTCTGGGGCCCTGCTGCATGATGAACCATACACGGACTTTGATGGTAAGGATTCTTCCCTACAATTTATGCGGGGGAGGGGGCTGTTTTTAGTCTTTAATTCTTCTGGCTTTTGAGCTTTATTATTGGATTGTCCTTGTAACCTTTGACCTAAATCGTACCCTTTAAGGTTCTTGATTCTCAAGCCCAATTACAGTTTCTTAACCTTCTGGGCTCTTATTTTTTAGTGTGGGGATCTTGTTAGTGTTGGGTTTTGTTGTTGGGTTTTTTGCTTGTTTGTTTGTTTTGCTTCTGGTAAGACAATCTTAGTGTTAACTTGGAAGTGCTCTTTTTAAGCTGTTTTGCTGCTGACAGGACTCTACTGTTAAATTTGAAGCAGTGGATACTCTCCTTTAATTTACAGTTCATACTTCTAGGGACACAGGGTTCGACAAAGGGCACCATCTGGGAAAGATCTAATTCTTGGCTTGTGTGCAGGGACAAGGGTGTATAGCCCTCCAGAGTGGATCTCTCGACATCAGTACCATGCCCTCCCAGCTACTGTCTGGTCACTGGGTGTCCTCCTCTATGACATGGTCTGTGGGGACATTCCCTTCGAGAGGGACCAGGAGATTCTGGAGGCTGAGCCCCACTTTCCTGCTCATGTCTCCCCAGGTGAGGCCCTCGCTGACCCCACAGGCTTCCTTCCTCCTAGGACTGGGTATCCTTTGCTGACTGCTAATCTCCCTTGTGTTTCTTGACCTCACAGATTGCTGTGCCCTAATCCGCCGGTGCCTGGCCCCCAAACCCTGCTCCCGACCTTCACTGGAGGAGATTCTGCTGGACCCCTGGATGCAAACACCAGCTGAAGAAGCGCCCATCAATCCTTCCAAAGGAAGCACCACCCCCTTACCCTGGTCCCTGCTTCCCTAGGCCCAGCCAGGCTCTCTGGTTGGAATCCCATGGTCATGCTACAGGGATAGATGGACATCTGTTGACCTGGTTATACAGGTTGTTAAAGATCCAGTATTACTAAGGTCAGGGAATAAGGATCAGGGGTCAGAAGATAGCCAAGTCTGCCCAGTTCCTATCCCAATCCTGTGAAGGAGCTCTCCTCCCGGAACCTGTGGTCCCTTATTTGGGAGGGGGGAGTTACTTGTTTCTTGTTCTGTTAAGGATGTTTATTTGGTTGGATTCCTTCCCTTCTAGGCCCTATGATTCTTATTATGACATTGTAGTCCCTACACTGGCACCTCCTATACTACTACCACAAACTTAGACACTTAGTTTAAATGCTCTCACTCGGGCAAGGGTGCTTTCCTTAAATACCCCAGCAGCTCTTTAGCAAAAGGGCCCTTACCCTGGGATCTCAATTCAGTTGCTGCTTGCCTGCCTTAGCCCAGAAATGATTATTCTGGGGAAGGTAACACCCTATTAAGCCCTATTAATTAGTATCCCACTGCTTTTTTTAATTTTTATTTTATTTTATTTTTTGGTGAGGGGACCCTATTGTTATCCCAAGTGCTCTTATTCTGGTGAGAAGAACCTTACTTCCATAATTTGGGAAGGAATGGGAGATGGACATCATCGGACACCACCAGAGACTAGGATGGGATGGATGGTTTTGGGGGGATGGGATGGAGGAAATAAGTCTTACTGTTTGTTCTCCTGGGGTCCCCCCTCTCCAACTTTTGCTGCCTCCTCCTGAGCCAGGATTGTCCAGTGGTAAAGTGTAAATAATTATGTACTGGAGGTAGGAGAGCTGCAGCTGTGCCCTCCTGTCCCTTCTCCCCCTGCCTGGATTATTTAAAAAGCCATGTGTGGAAACCTATTTAATAAATAATAAAGTCACGAATGAATGGCCATTTATAGAGGAAGGTATTAGTGGAGCATCTACTGCCTGTTGAGTTTAGATGGCTGGAGAAAAATTTCTGAAGAAAAACCAAGTCAGAGAAGGGGGCCAGTCTGACCGTTTTTGTTTTGTTTTCAGATGGGGTCTTTTTGAAGCCCAAGCTAGCCTCAAACTTGGAGTGCTGGGATTTACTTGCACAAAAATAAATCCCAGGCTCCAACTGGAATTTTTCTAGCACTTTCTATGTAGCTCTTAACTTGATTTAAATCTTAATTTTGTCTTTGCCTTTCATGCCCCTCCTTTGCATCTTCCTCAGCTCACCTCCCTTGGTCTAATTCTGACGTCAATTGTCCTGAACCTGCTTCTCATTTTCCTCTATTATGGTGACTAAGCCTTCCCTACTCTAGTTCAGCAATGAATTCTATGAACCTAGCGGCAGGCCTATGACTCACTTGTCCCGCCTTCTCCAAAGTCCGATTCATCCCAGTTGGCCTCCGGGCCTTAGAGGGCGGGACCTGGCTGGTTGTTGAATAGAATTGAGTTTCTGATGCGAGGAGGGTGGTGCCATCTGAAGGTTCCAATAAAAGCGGAGATGGAAGAACCACGGAACCAATGAAACCGCGGGACGGTTTGGGAAGGTGGTTCGGACAGTCGGGGTCAGTGAGGCGGGCAAACGGGAGGTGTGGGCCGGATCTAGTGTCGGGAGCATGCCAATAGATGTGTAAAGGCTATGGGAGATGGGTCTCCGGCGTCCTTGGTCTCCAGCTGATGGAATCTGGGAAGTCCGAAACCACCATTTTAGAATCAGGCTTGGAACGGGCTAAAAACACCACCTCGCAATCCCAGCTAGTGCCCCGCCCTCCACGCCGGAGGTCCGGAAGCGGACGTGATGGATACGGAAGTAGCCTGCTGTTGCCGAGGGGACGGGACGGGCAGATGCCAACATGGCAGCGGTTGGGGTTGGCGGATCATCCGCGGCGGCCGGGCCAGGGGCCGTGTCCGCGGGCGTGCTGGAGTCTGGGTCCGCTACAGCGGGTGAGATGACCTCAGTCAGAGAGCAGTTGGCCGGGCGAAGTTCGGGGACCTTGGGGGTGGAATGATCCTTGGCTGAAGTGACAGCGGCATCTCGTGTGAACGGACCGACGTGTGTGGTGTGTGTGTGTGTGTGTGTTGTTGAAAGAAGGGAGGAGAGAACGGACCATTGTAGGTTGCAAGGTAGGAATCGGTTGTTTTGTGGGTGTTTGTGACGGGGGCCTTGGACTTGGAAATAAAGACCGTTATGAATGTGTGGGGGAAATTTCCTTTTGAGGAGGCTAAGACCACTGAGAATGTTCGGGGGCTGTGGGCAATCTTTAATTGCAGAAGGGAGAGACAGATTCTGGGGTAGGAGTTTTTCCTTATAGAAGGGAGAGAGACGATTCTTAGGGTGGTGGCTTCTTCCTTATAAAGGGACCTTATAAATTGTCAGGGTGGGGCACATCCTTGTATGACTAGTGGATCCATTTTGAGCATGAGGCTGTCCTTCATTACATGGAGAGTATGTTCTGGGGCTGTCCCATCCAAATGGAGATAGTTCTATTTATGTTGAGGTGGGAGGGTTCCTTCCTTATAGGTCAGGGAAAGAACATTCTGAGGGTGCCAAGTCCTATATAGCAGAGAGAGCTCATTGTCAGTGTGGGGAGAACAAAGAATTGTTCTTTGTCTGGGAGGAGGGTGTACAGCAGTAGGGAAGTATTTCCGTATGTGATTAAGGTAATCAGACTGTTGGGTAACCATTGTAGGAGATAGGAAAGTAGGACAGTCCTTAGGAGGTGGGCATTTTAAACAATTGCCCCATTCATTATATTCTGATATTTCATTTATGGGACAGTCCTGCAAGTAGAAACATCACTTCCTAGAAATCCTCAATTTGCTCATCCACAAAATGGGATGTTTCAAAGTACCCTCAGAGACCAAATGCTGGGTGAGAATCCATGTGAATCCCATAGCTCAGTGATAGGCATGCTGCACACATTCAGTAAATCCGGGCGATGCTGTCTGGGAAAGAGCTGCTTCCCCGGGGAGGGAGAAGTGGGTATGTGTGTCCAGGGCCTGCCTAGGCCATTTCCTCACACCCTACCAGGGATTCCACAGTAAGAGCTGGCCAGAATGGGACTCTGTCTGACACTTGCCTGCAACAGAGGTTGTAGAAACAGGTAGGGAATCAGATTCTCAGTTGAGTCAGGAAGGGCAGGCAGAGGAAGTACCAGTGGCTGGAAGGATTTTGATTGAGAAGAGGGGGGAGGTGGGTGGCTAAACCCTGACAGCTTCTGACCCCATCCTTCTATGTTCCTTCCACTCCCTACAGCTCACCGGCGCCTCAAGTACATATCCTTAGCTGTGCTGGTGGTCCAGAACGCCTCCCTCATCCTTAGCATTCGATATGCTCGCACACTGCCTGGGGACCGCTTCTTTGCCACCACCGCTGTAGTCATGGCTGAAGTACTCAAAGGTGTCACCTGTCTCCTGCTGCTCTTCGCACAGAAGAGGGGTATGAGTCAGAGAAGGGGCTGGGTGGTTGATCTGACTCCCTGTGTGTAAGCACGCCGGGGAGGCTTGTTTTCTGGGAGAATCTTTCTGAAAGTGCTTTCGGAGTATGTAAGTGCCATCTAAGCTTCCTTGCCACTCCAGCTGTGCCAAGTTGCCTCGGCACTTGTATGTCCCTTAAACCTGGGAACTGCAGTAGTGACATAGTCTGCCCAATAGGCAACAGAACACTCAACAGTGATTCAAAGATTTAACTTTATCCCGTGGAAGCCAAGTGTAGTGGCACATGCCTCTAGTAAAAGCATTTGGAAGGTGGAGGCAGGACGATGAGGAGCTCAAGATAACAGGAAGTTCAAGGCTAGCCTGGGCTACACGTGCTTTTGTTTAAAAGAGAGAGAGAGAGAGAGAAAGGGAAAAGAATATGGAGAATTCCACTACACACACACACACACAGAGTCAGAAAGAATAATAAAATAGTAAAGCTATCTTTCCACACATTATCCAAGCTCACAACTCTCAACTCTTGACCACCCTGTCAGAAATCTAGCTGCTCACTGCTGAGCTACTTATCTTTTACACATCTGCACTTGTAACCGCAGCTGGTCAGCATACTAAGGCACAGCATCAGTTAATTCCATGAATTCAAGGCTAGCTGCAAAACAAGAAAACAAGCAATAAGTGGAATTATAATACCTAGAGTTGGTGTAGTTTAGTTGATAGAGTGCTTGCCTAGCATATATAAAGCTCTGGATTTGATCTCCAACACCACAAAAAACAGTTATGATAAATGCCTATAATCTAAGGCAGAAGGATCAGAAGTTCAAGGTCATCTTTGACTATGTAGTGAATGTTCAGGGATAGCTTGAGCTATCTGAAATTCTATCTAAAACAAGGAAGCATAATAAAAATCATACATGATGAAATAACAATAAAGTTAGGGATGGTGGTTCATACCTGTCATCTGAGGCAGGAGGATCATAAATTCCACGTCTTCCTAGGCTGAAGCAAGATCCTGTCTCAAAGCTGGGCGGTGGTGGTGCCCGCCTGTAAGCCCAACACTTGGGAGGCAGAGGCAGGCGGACCTCTGTGAGTTCGAGGCCAGCCTGGACTATAAGAGCTAGTTCCAGGACAGGCGCCAAAGCTACAGAGAAACCCTGTCTTGAAAAACAAAACAAACAAAATGGGGCTGGAGAGATGGCTCAGAGGTTAAGAGCACTGGCTGCTCTTCCAGAGGTCCTGAGTTCAATTCCCAGCAACCACATGATGGCTCACAACCATCTGTTCTGAGATCTGGCGCCCTCCTCTGGCGTGCGGGCAAAATGTTTAAAAAAAAAAAAACAACAAAAATCCAAATAAAAGGTGTTTAACAGGAAACATGATCCTGCCTCAAAACAAAACAAACAAACAAAACCCCCAAACCACCAATGAATAAAAAAGCAAAACCAGGTCTGTAATCTTAGCTGCTTGAGAAGCTGAGGCAGGGAAATCATAAGTTCAATACTAACCTGATCAACTTTGTAAGACACAGTCTCAAAACATAGGACTGGCAAGATAGCTTAGCAGGTAAGGTAAAAGCTCTTGCCATGCAATCCTGACAGCCTGAACTCTATTACCAGGACCCATGATGGATGGAGAGAACTGACTTTAGCCTCTAAGGTGTCCTTGGACCTCCACACCATGGCCTGTGCATGCCCACACTCAAACGCATACATCACACATAATACAGATAAAAGGACTAGAAATGTAGCCCAGCTGTAGAACACTTGCCTAATTTGTTTAGGGCTGTAGGTTCATCCCCAGTAACACACACATACACACACATGTGCGTGCAAAAACCAAAACAATAGGGGCAGAGAAGATGGCTTCATGGGTAAAATGCTGGGCGATGGTGGTGCACCCCTTTAATCCCAGCACTTGGGAGACAGAGGCAGGTGGATCTCTGTGGGTTCAAGACCAGCCTGGTCTACAAGAGCTAGTTCTAAGACAGCTAGGGCTGTTACACAGAGAAACCCTGTCTTGAAAACAAACAAGCAAAAAATAATAAGGTGGAAAGTGATAGAGGAAGACACCCAATATCAGTCTCTGTCGTCCACGTGTCCATGTGTGGATGAGGGCACCAGTCTGTCCACATTCCTACACACAAATCAGAAACCCAAAAGATTAAGTGGTTCATAAGTGTTCAAAATTATAATGCTTTCTTTCTTTTCTTACTTTTTTTTCAAGACTTGGGACTCACTCTGTAGACCAGGCTGGCCTTGAACTCAGAGATCTGCCTGACTCCTGAGTGCTGGGATTAAAGGTGTGCTCCACAACCACCTGGCAACAATAGCTTTTATCCACAGTTTTATTGTTATTATTATTAATTTGGGAGGTGGGCACCCATGTGCTATGCATGCAAGTGGAAGTCAGTAGACAACTTAAAAGAACTGAATCTCTCGTTACCTCATATGGGTCTTGGGAATTCATGTCAGGCTTGGCAGCAAGTACCCTTACCCTGATGCG